TAAAATTTAAAAAACAAGCTAATAAGACGCGCAAAATATTGTTGTATGTTCAAAATACGATACTTGTCCAATTATGTTAATATAATATACGGTGCAGATTTCAATTAATTCCAGATTCTATATTAAGTTATCAACATCATCATTATACAATCTAATAGAATATCTAAGTAAATAACACTAATATAGATATAAACTTGGATATAGCACATTGCAAAGAAAACGATTCCAGAATTTCATATTACAATAAAAGTAATATACTATAAAAAGACACTTAAACTTACACTCTAGGAATGTTATAACAAAAGCTAAATAAAAAATAACATTCTGTCTGGCGCTTGTAGAAGGCTTTCTAGCAAACAACCTTAAAAATATTTCATTTCTGGAATTGTTTCGAGTCAGAAATAGCGCCAAGTGACATTTAAACTGATGTGTTCCGCTCAGTAACTGAGAGAGGTACATTTATTAGAGGGTCCGTTTTAAAAATGAACCAACGGACGAGTTCTATCAGCCAATTAGTTGTCATGTTATTTCTAAATAAAGTTTTCTATTTAAACAATTTTGTTTTTGAAGATGATTACATCTGCACAGTACTTGTATATTGATATGTATATGTAGGTATATGTATAATTAGGAGAATCTGAACCGTGTTTCAGTCATATTAATTAGGTAGAGTACCATTCACCGAGGATATAAATTCTAGGCCGTAGTCAGAAGTAGAATGGTTAATTATTTTATCTCCGAAATCACGGCATCATACGTTATAAACCTTTTCACACGAATAACTGGAGTTATACAATTTACTAAATGAACGTAAGGTCATAACATGACCCAAGATATGCGATGCTGTATAGATCACCTTGGTTGGTAACGTGACACCCCAAGTACATAGCTACTCGTACCGACAAGGGTACATACATATGTTACGTACATATTCGTACGTGACTAGACTTGGAAGAAATTCGATTGCTCGCGCGGTTGCCCTGCCGATCATCCAGAATCAATTTGAGATTAAATCTGAATTTCATATGAACCCTCCTCGATTATACCACACCATTTGATAATATTTAATCTTAATTATCATCCGCCAATATCAGAATATATTATTAGACAGTAAGTTTTTTGTTATTGCCTCTTGATATACAAAAGATACGCCTAGAATAATAAATTGAAAATTGAAGGCACCACAGAAGAATCTTAAACTGTTTTCAGTCTCTGCTCGTCACATAAATGGCCTGCTACGAAAATAGATAGATAGATTAAAGTTCATAACCGTCAAATTCTATATGTAATAAACCTAAAAAAGTAAATATACAATTGTAACGCCTACAAATCGAGATTGTTCTTATAATTTGTATATGCACAAATATATACACAATATCTGTATGTACTGTCATAGCTCATGCAGACACTAACTATTGAGTAATATTGCCGAGCTATTTAATATCTGACAATCCAGATCATCTATCTATAGTAAACGTCGTTGTATTCACACTATATCACCTACCTCCTAGTGGATCCACCCAATCTGTTCACGTCACAGTAATAATACCTAAAATGAAGAGGTTCAATATCAATTACAATATCTGAAGCAGCTGTTTCCATTTAACCCCAAAACTGTTTAATTAATTTTGGCCGACACCGCCAAAAGTTGCGCGACAGTGTTTGCCTGATTGTAAATAAGGACAGCAACTCAATAAATAGTAAATATTTGTGACATCGATACCTACTCGTGCAATAATTCTCAGAAAATTTGTAATGAAACCAAAATGTATTTATAGATTTAAGTGTTTAAATTATAGCAATTCTGTTTTCCACATTTTGCCACGGAATCCTACAAAGGGTTGCAGTCATGAATTTAAAACTTTTATTTTTATACGACTTAATTTAGGCAAAAAAAATTAAGTGACATCTCGACTCATTCGAGTTTGTGGGAAAAAACTTTAATTCGTTCTCCGAGTAAATTTTTTCAGACAGCGAAAATTAGGCAGTCCTTAAGAGCCACGGGCGCGAACGCAAATCCGATTTGAGTAATGAAACGGGACTAATTAAAAAGTCGGAAGAGAAATTGTGGGAAAACAAGGCTTTCTTCGAGCTGTTATTTATTTAGGGTTTACGGCTCACTTACAATAGAAAATAAAGGCAAATTTATATTATAAATTGGAAACACGAAATTATAAATTATCGACAACATAACAAATTGGCTCCACGTAAAAGCTGCGTGTGTCGTGATTGCGTGCTAGCTGTAACTTTTAGGTAAATGTACAGTAGGAAACCTTTAGGAAACAGTTTGCTATTACACGACTAAAATATATCCGTTGCTTGAGTCAGTATATTTAATATATAAAAAGATTTAAACAAAAGCTCGTACTTCTACGTGACTAATTATATAATAAATTTAGTAGGTAGAATATATAGATAGATAGATATATAGAGTATAATAGAAGAGAATAAAGATTAGCGACTTAAAAAGTAGAAATTTCTCAATTCGCCTAACTTTTTCTCTGGATTGCGATGTGGGGATACATGAACTCTGTAATAAATGTTTATATATATTTTTAACAATAAATTAATTTTACGTCTATTGTCGCTGAATTGTGAGTTCGCCATGAATAATTCAATAACCTGATTTCGTCTACATGTTTTTTATGGTGTAGAACATCTTTATGGAGAATAAGCATGACAAAAAAAATATTTTGTTAACCGTTGGCGAAAAAAATTATAAAAAAATCTAATGATATAGGTACCTCATTGAACTTGTCAACCTATAGTATAAAACGTCCCAGTAAAACGATAACAAAAATATAGCCAAATTCTAGAGTAATAATAAAGTAACTGTCACGCGAGCAATGGTAAACATTTTTAGTTTGTTCTGTAGGTATTAAAATTAAATAGCTAATGATACCTTTTTACATATAGTTACGAACTTTCGACTGACAACCGATATGGTTAGGTATCTATTGAAAATGTCTAAAACAGATTCTTGCCGTATAAATACAATATTTATTTCCAGTATATTTAGTTCCAGCTATAAAACGATGACTGGAAACGATAATTAAAGTAAAAGATGAGACCTTTTTATATTATTTTATGTTACATAGCTACGATAGCATGTAACATAAAATAATATAGCGCGTACAAGATGAAGCAAACGTTCAAAGTAATAAGTAATCATCTTAAAGCTTTTCATCTAGTCGGGTAATGTCAATGCCCGTGCAAGACGAAATCTTTTAAATATGCTTGCGCTTCTTACACTATACTCGAGAATTAAAAGTCATAAACACTTTTTGCATACATTTTTATCATTTGGTTGTGATTACATCTCCAAAATTCAATTTATTTATGACCGTGGTATATTTTAATATTATCATTACAAATAGGCAAAAGTAGACTACATATTAATTTCATGAATGGTGTAAAAACCACAAAGACAATATTTACATTTTCTTTAGATTAGATTCATATCGCTATGATTTTTTTATATGTACCTGTTTGTGTATATAATAGGGACCAAGAGTTACAATAATGTTACGTTGCCTGAATTAAAGAAATGCTGAAGTATATGTCTGTTTGACATTCACTCTGCTAAGATTTGTTACCTTAAGAATCTAAATAACAGAATAGATCTTTAAAAAAATATGTGAAGATAGACTAAACTTTACGATGAGGACACAGATAACATCTTCTGTCCGTCATTGACGCATAAGTCAATACATCGCCCTTCCTTTCAAATAACAAAAACAACAAAACTAAACCATTAGTTTTTAGGTCTAATATGACGGAATTTTCGTAGATCTATAATTTGGTATCGTCAAATTTAATTCAACATTTACGATGCTCGAGTTAGGTGGGTGCAAAGTGCAAGGCTTAGTCTATTTTTAACCCCAACAATAATTTTGAGAAACCTAGGTAGGTACGTACTTAAATATAGCGTTACGGTATTATATCCAGAATATCGGGGGCGTCATACTCCACAGATAGTTTGGCAATCACAGATGACTTAGTATAAACATAATATAAATAAAACAACATTAAATTTTATAATACAAAGAAAAAATATTTTATTTCAATATTACTTTGTTTTGTAAAAAACCAACTTAAATATGAGAATTATACAAGAAAATCTTACAATATGCCCTTGTTTAATTTTAAATCTTCTGCTCAAAATAATTATGATACGATTAACATCCACGAAAATCCGCTTAGTAATTATATTATATAATAATCTATTTGTAATACTTTTAAATCAAAAGTTTATGACTTTTGTCTAATTCATACAAAACATCTTATAAATTCAAAATTTTCATTCATATTCATCACATCTGCCACAAAGGTAACTAAAAAGTAATAGAACGTTAAGTGTTCCTATTCAATAAATTCAAGGAATACATTGTCATATTTTTCAAATTCTATTTAACAATACACAGCGTCATTCTACACTTAGTAAAAAATACCACAAGTTAAGGATATCATTACATTTTAACATTTTAGTCAAAAATAAATAGAAAAATAGTGATTACATTTATATTTCGTAGAAGTAGTAATATATCTTGCAATAAATAGAATTGATTACTTAGAAGAAACCAAGTTATTCTGTTTTTTTTATATCATACATGCATGTATTTAATGAAACGAATGAACGTTTTACATAATTAAATGTAAGAACATTTAATTATGTAAAACGCAATGCCTTACAAATAATGGAATATTAAAACGGCATACATTTTAATCTCGATTCACTCATCCAATAGGATTTTCATTGGCACCAATAACATATAAAAAAAGTAACTTCAAAAAACCAGACAAATGTCTTTAGTCAAGTTACAATTATGCAAGTTCACCTGTACATAAGAGTGTGACAGGGATCGTGTTCACGAAATACAACAACAAAATATGACACAATACATGAGCTTCTTTATGATGATACATCTTAAAATAACGATTCCCTAATGTAATGCTGGGTTCTCAGCTGTTATACTACATGTTATACTACATGCAGTGATCTTGGTTAACCCTCACCTTAAAATAAAGTTGTAGTACAAAGTGGCTTTTCGATCAATGGGTAAATAATTCACAAATGAAGAATAGTCTAATGTTGTTATGCAAGAAACCTATCCTTTTCGCACTCTTGTTGACTGCTCGTCGCTAGGAAGTGAAGGTGAGATAAAAATGTAGCAACGTAGGATTACATATTAATTGTTATTACATTACATTAACATAAGTATAATTCTGTTCACATCGACGTTGGTGACCAGAAGTTCATTTCTCGCATTTCTGACGGCTTTGGGCGGAAAGAATGAGCCGGTTTCAGCAATTTTGGATGTTGAGTAGACACTTCGTTTGAAATTAGTTTTGGATCCTTGCCTTTTGGAGCTGGGCCGAGACTTTCAACAGACTCAGCGAGGGTACCTATAACAAATATTAAAACATTTCAAATAACTTCAACACTAGTGATCACTCTACAGTTTGAAACATAATTGAGTTGAAGTTTAAAAGTAAAGTTAAAGTCGCTTAAAAATAATGTATCTATAGTATTAAAAGTGTATTTTTTTATTGTCATTTCAGTTGAATGACAATCAAGCTAGCGATCCACCTGACGGTAAGTAATCATGTTATGATATGATCACTCATTAGTTGCAATTCAGCAGGATTAAGGTGACACACATCCACACCCTGCAGCAAATGATTACATATTTACCAACCTTGTAATCTGGTTTCTATACCATCCTCTTCTGCTAAAGTAGAAGTGGATGTAGCCAAATCTTTCTTGAACCCAAGCAGCGCCATTGTCAACCAAGATCGACTAGATGAGTCTTCAGCAGGCTCAAAGGGCGACGTAAAGTAACTGGAAATAATTTTAAAACACGCATTGCAATAAATACAGTCTTCAGATATTTATGAAAATGGACAAAAATAAACGGACAAAAAGCGTCTAAATGTACAGGATTATTTCAATATTATTTGTATTTAGGTCCACAAATGTAATCAACATTGATGGACCTATTTTAATCATAAAGATTCAAAATATGTCACAATATTGCATTTATGGCCCTATAATATATTGGTCACCTATTGCGGTTTTGGATATTTCTGCCAATTCTTTCAAATTCAAATGATAAACCAAATGGTCTAATAACTAATTCTGCCAAGATTGAATACATTTTAATAGTTTATTTAATTAACCTTTAAAGACAATCAATCTTATCTCACTACCATTGAAAGTAAAGTTGCGATTACGACGTTGTAAACAAATGACACTTGTTAGCAAAACATACATCAATTCATCTGTAGTCATATGATATTAATATAGATACATGTGATATTTGAATTTGCTAAACCAATATTTACGTAATATTTTATGTAGATAAAAATCTGCTTTAAAGCTGGGTGACCATCTTTGATGGTATTTAAATGGTAGTAAAGATATTTTTTTCAGGTCGTCGTAATTTCGATGCCCGTTTGAATAGGACGGGAGATCGATCGGAGGGAAAGTAAAGATAGGCGGAGAGGAATTTCTACAATAATCTGTAATAATCAGCAATGATGCTTTTGGTTAGATACGCAGACACTCATTTAATCAGAATAAAGGAGAGATGATCATGATACATGATACATGGTGAGTGGTAGAATCAAAATATGACTATTCAAAAGTGCTTGTAATGAGTTTATTTGAATAAAGATTATTTCTATTTCTATTTCTATGAACTGAGAATTCTGCGCATATGACCAATTAGGCTTATTACAGCAATTGTCCCCAATTTCTAAATTTATTCATATTGTATAATCTAATATCTATAATAATAATAATGGAGATTTATGTAATCTCCCGTTTCAGTGGAGGCCGTGCCTTAACATTGTTTTATTTTACGTTTTTATACTACCAAGATAATAAAAACAGATAACCTGACGGCCTGTTTGGTGAAAATACGTTTACTCGTGGACAATCTTAATTTTAATATTTAAGTAGGTATCTAAATTAATAATAATATTGAACTGGAAGACAGCAAATACAATACTTACTAATCTCTTGCATCAGAATTTACAATAACCAGTTTACTATCAAACTGATACGCTAGATATAGTTCTTTAAATCAGAATTAGTTGCGTCCATTAACAGACATAACTACATGAACAATAATATAATTAAAGTTGTATGCAGGTACTACATTATAACAATGTTTTTAAATATCACAAAAACCGGTCGCCATTATTGCAACTTGTTTTGTGACTACCTGTACTATTTTGAGAAAATAACAAGTTTTCAATATTAATATACAAAAGCAGTATATTATAAACTAATAACGCAATGTAATTCGTTTATAGTATACTGAATATAATATACTGATAATAAAACTAATAATAAATATGATTATTTTTAAGTGAAAATTAATTAAAGCATTGTGAAAAGTGGTAACGTATTTAAGTTACAACGTTGACGACTGTTTTCACAAATGGGGTAACCAGATACATTATCAAGTGTTGAAGTCCTGAACGCAACATGTGACAGTGCACACAATTCGCAACATATATCTGATTCGAACCTGACTAAGGGCAAGCATGCAGTTTTTCCCGGTTTCATTTTATTTGTCATCTGTGTTTCCATCATGAGGGATATTTAATAACAAAGACTACTGAATGGAATTTAATGAAACTTTACAAAATATATCCAGTAACAAGCTAAAAATTTCACACAGGTGAAACCACGGGCATAGCTAGTATTAAATAAAATGTAGTTTTACCGGTTCCCTGCCATCTTGCGGCGACTATTTGGACTCGAGGGCGGTGAGTGCGCGGGTGTGGCTGGCAGACTCCTGCTACCGCGTCGACCCGCTCGGTACGGGCCTTCCGAAGCAGTTGTATCCTCGGATGGCGAAGCTACTGTGAAGCCTCGGGGTGAACGGTTCGACGATATCATCTGGTGTGCCACCTGCAAGTGAATGTCATTTTGTCAACACGACTGTGTGTATAAACCTTTTGTGAGTCAGTGCGTAACTAATTAGTACATCGACGACGCCATTGTGCTCTACGTGTTTTAGTTACATCAATCAGTAATGCACAACTTATGCGTGTTGTAGTTGTATCTTACATAATAATAGCATTGACATTTGATCAAAATATACACAATTTATATATTTATTTAAATAATCCACGTCATACATATGTAAAAAGTACATATGGCGGACTTAACACCTAATGGCATTTTCTACCAGTCAACCATGAGTTGTGCAAAGATAAGTTGCTGGCGGTGCAAATAATATTATAATATTTTTATAAAACACAGAAATAAATAAATATATACATAAATATCCCTACAAATATGCATAAATATATATATTTATCTCTTATTAATTGGGTTTTTTTCTGTTTTCATTTAAAGATCGTTAAAAAATATATTGGACTTAAAAAAGTGACAACCAAGATCAATCTCAACCACTGATTGGCTCGTATAATAATAACATTACATAAAATAAAAATTTATCATTGGTGCTCGATGTCAAAGTTCATCTGATATTTAACTAAAAAATCAACATCATGACATTTTACATATTCAACAGTTTGCCCCAAAAAAAATATAATTAGAATCTAATTTATAATAATCATAATTGTGTTAATGTATAATAGATTAAGACCATTTGTCCTTTGAGACAATAACAGGTGTGTCATTAAAAATAATTGCTACTAAGAAAAATAACTAAATAATTATATTTCAGATAACCTAATTAATAAAAGATAAATTCAAAGTTATCGTGGTCACACGCGACCTGCTTATATCATAAGACCCCCTATATAACAAACATTTGGATGTTTTTAATACTTAAAGCAATTATTATAATAAGATGTTTTTAACTTTACTGACTTTATAATGAAAGAGATTGTCAAATCGAATATATTTTTGGGTAACACGCAAAACCTATGTTTGTACCGTATTAATTTAATCTTCGATGAAGTAGATTTCTTTTCTGAAACAAATATCAAAACAAAAATCTCAGATGTATCACTGACCTTAACAACAGAGGTGCCACACGCCGCTCCTTCGCCTTTAAACCCATCGTCCGTGCCTGCTGGTTTCGGCTTAGATGTTGCAGAGTTGACTGAAATTATTAAACAGAAATATATGTATATTCATATTTACCCAATAAAGTCATCCCATCAAGGTATTAATGACAATAGGAATGGCAGAATAGCCTGTGAAGCTTGTACAAAAGACAAGTTCGAAAAAAGAGTCCCACGACAAACTCAAAAGTTATAAAAATAATCTCCAGTGTTGTAGAAAGTCGATGGAAATTGCTATGGATGGATACTTTGTATAGTGTCTTAGGTTCTGTTTATCTTTATCGTGAAAGAAGTAAAACAACAATTATTATTCATATATATGTATACTAACAGTGATTATTAAGAATCTATACTAAAAAATATATAAATATTAGATAATATTATCATACTGAATTTTTTATATCTGTCTGTTAAAAATGCATATATGACAATATCTTTGACATATACCCAACACGGCTTTATGTATTTTCATATATAAGTAAGTACATCCATCAAATTTTGGGTGTTAAATATGCTGGATAGTATCAAAACCGAACTTAAAGGAGAGTTTCGTGTATAATTTCTCTGTACATGTATCATACAAATAAAATCGTCTAAAATGTGTTGTGTATAATTAAAACTAGACTAGATCAAGAATTCAAGTGGGTATTTAGTATTTTATTTATTTCTAGGCAGAATAGAATGCGAACAATCATTTACCGCGACGTAATTTGAGCATTGACAGTTTTTAATTTGGCTTTGAGATTGAATCGTGCATATTACAGTGCATCGCAATGGGTAAAGTCACCTCCACTGAACTACTAGAGACAGTTCAAAAATAGGTATTAACTCACCAGCAGTATTGATTGGCGCTATGCCATGCAGTACATCCTGGCAGGGTTTGGTATGTTTGGACCAATCTTTCCCCTTCGTGGCGTTATATGTCGAGGCTGCCGTCTGGCCGACTTCTTTTGTCTGATCGCTGATAACATTCGAAATGTTATGGTTGAGTTTTGTCTTCCCAAATACCAGATCTGATTTTGGATAACGAATGTAGAAAAAAGAATCTTCTGGAGCCGGCGGTGAAGAGGCAAAAGGTTCAAATTCCCTATAAAAGAAAAATATTTCATTAATTATAATAATAACCTACAGGTGAAAAACCTGTATGTTATTATTATAAAATCTACTTTGTTCGTCAAACAAAGAAGGTATTTCGCGAGTTCGTGCAAACGTATAGGATAATCTCCAGACCAATTCAGATGGCTACAGGCTATCTGTATGTATATTATTTATATTTTCCAAACTAGGTGAATTCGAGACTGGTCGCCAGCAATATATGTATATTTTATTGCTACACAGTTCAAAGTATTCTTTTTTATTACACTAATGTGGGCAAAACGTATTATTTAAATATACTCACAAAAAATAGTGTTTTTGAATGTAGTTTTTGACCACCATATTTCTGTCTAAACATGACCAAATCACGTTATATCTATTAATAATAATAAATAAAAACTTCTAAAAAATCTTAAATATATTTTGCAGTGTATCGAGAACTCAGCACGTGAAAGGTATAAATAGATGGCACTACACGCAACACATACTTAGTGAAACTAAAAGGTGTAAGGTCGTCGATTTAGCATTTTATACCCCGTAGAGTCAAACATAGAATAAGCATATCTTATCGCGATACCACAACACATGAGCAAAACATCTCGTTCAAAATAATACGTTGCTGTGACGTCACAGACAGCTCATTAGCACACTCCCACATTTAGAAAGCACGTGACGAGCCGAAAGTGCGTTGATTAAGCACTTTACCTACTACAACGTAGTAAGTCATGACCGTAACAGAACGTGTCAGGCGCGGAAAGAAGTTTCGACCCGCTCACAGCGACGGATCAACACCGTTCTATTCCCGTTCTAGTACAAATCGGATATGCCGTACGATAGTCGTCTAAAATACAGAGTATATTATTGATGCAGTGCATTTTCGCAAACGCGATCGTACTGTTTTCTACATTACTGTATTCGCTACACTCAAGACTGCTAACGACAAACACAACACAAGCAAAATGTTCTTGCCTAGAATCGCTATCGTTTTGGTCTTGGCATGTTATGGTGTATCGTGTACTGGTAACAAAACGGGATAGGAGCCATTTTTTTAATTAGTTATCTGTATTAGGAGGAGGAATAAGAGGAGTAATTGGGACTAGTAGCATTATTAGCAACGATCTCTTTACGATATCCCTGGAAATTATCGTGGTTAATGATTATTGATAAATTTACTACAATGAGCTAACAGCCCTGTTTTCATAAGCATTATGACATCATCAGAATGTTTTGCATGTTTCGAGGTGGTTATGGACATACTATTGTACGTACTAATGCGTAGCGAGCTTTAAGATATCAAAGACACAAGGGAATTCTTCCGTAAAATATGTTCTTGGCATTGTGAAGTTGGATAGGCATTAACTAAAAATTTTATAGCTACAACGAGAATAGATTTATGTCGTCATTAAACCCAACGATAGCCAACAACATTGAAGATCATAATAAGTACCAATATAATAATTACCAAAGATAATAACAGTAGGTACTATTATACAAAAAATATAATAATATAAATGGGACACCTTATATTTTATATCTGAATCTAACCAAAATCTATACTAATGGATTTTGGGTTAAAATCGAAATTTGTTACCATATCACGATTAAACTCCTGAACAGATGTTGCTGTAGTATGACGTAAGATAGATTGTATCGTGACGTGTTGATTGTAGATTGTATTCGTTTTGTATAAAAAAAACCGACGTCGCTGGTAAAAAATAATAATATTGGAAAATAATATTTAAATAGAAAGTAACAAAAGAAAAACATAAAATTGTTCAGAAATGCTTATCTTATATATTATGAACCTTTCATCATCCATCACTATCACAAATGATAAGAAAGAACACTGTTGACATATTAGTACTGTAAATAAACATAAATTAGGTAGGTATATAATATTATTTTACCTACTGTCTATGTCAGATTAATATTAACACGTAGGGTCACGTGAGTATAAGACTTATTTGGCTTCAGTTTGAAACTTGTTTGTTGAAAACAATAAAACATATATATATATATATATATATATTGTATAGTACATTAAGTACAGTACAACCTTAACAATATCGAATAGTCCAGTTGATGCATACATGCATCAACTCAAATTAAGCTTGCGAAATATTGATAACTATTAAGACTCATATATTATTCTAACCCAATCTCTCGATGCTAAAACATTATTCCACTAACCTAGCCAAGTGGTATCAGTTCCCATGAGTGAGCATTAGATATTGCCTGGCTCTTTGTTTCTCATACTTTTGACAATTCAATTGCAAGTTTTGTCATATTTCTAATATTGAGTATATTAGTAGTTAATACAGAATTCATTGTACGGATGAGTATGGTATTGTGTACCCACCTGCGCTAACTCCGCTAAGGGACCACAGAGCTTCAGGTTTGCCTGATATGGTACACTGCTAACAATGAGACAACTTTTAATCCTCATTCCTAACAATCTTCTCACCCTCTACCCTAATATAGCTAATACAATAGGCACCTACGTACACTGCCAATGGGAGCAAGTTTGTAACTAAACTAATATGTTTTGTAAAGGGCAGTCAGTAAGGTCGATGGGTGTGATGAAATTTTAATGTATCTATACAAGTGCAAGGTTACTGCAAGAACATGGAAATAGGTACTAGTTAGTACAATCGTGTTATCAATAAATATCATCTGGACGATAAGAATACAAATAGTGAAAAACCACCAGACTATACTAAATACTAGTATATAATAAGACTCACAATAAGAAATACACAACTGGTTTATTCTAAATAAAAGTAAATCTAAAGATTGTATAGATAGAAATTATTTAAGCTACCATACAATCTATTGTGACCGATGGGTGTGATGAAATTTTAATGTCTCAATCACAATGACCTTGAATGTCGCCACATGAAACCGGATCGATGTATTGCAACACTAGGAACATCATGACAGTTAAATGCACAGCATAGTAATATGTTAGCGGCGGGTAAAAGGCAATAATAAAGTTAAATAACTTTAGTGATTGTCATATGATAAAATTGTATATATTATACATGTAAAATTTATGAGAAAAGCTGTTACTTTATGAACACAATATTATAGTATAATAATAGTACCCAAAACATTGTTTGTTAAAATTTTTGTATGTTTGTAAAAGATGAAAGTATGTGAAGATGCCAATGGATGTTTCTTACTCTTTCGTGCAGAAAATGCTGTATGTTATTGAATAATAGGTATAGGATATTCGAAAGGTACAAGATCATATTCTATATTAACACGTTGTAATCCTTTTACCCAAAGTCAACCTAGTAGTGCAGCTAAATACACAAATGCATACTAACCAAGGGCATGACGTGTAGACAAATACAACAACATTTACGTAATATTCAGCACATTGTTCATGTAGGTTTTATGTAGAATAAAGCAGTAGATAGCTTCAATACATAAAGAACACTCAGTTGACTATATTTATTACTTACATTTCAAATTTAAAACCATAGCGAGTCACGTGATGTTAGTGGCGTCATAATCGTGACGCCACTGACAATAGTGACCATAGTGGTAGGGATAAAGAGGTTGGGAACAAGGAGGGAGCGGGCTGCTCTCTCTGTTCGAGGCCACTGAGACGACCAGACGTGAATGTACAGCGACGCAATTTATGTGAAGTGTAATTTGAAAAAGGAATAAAATAAACGTACTGCTGCATCGACATATCATTCCTGAAACTTGCCAATAATATGTAGTAAGTCGTAATGAAAACTAATATAAACAATCTCTTTTTGATACTGAAAATACTAGTGATTAAAATTGTTACCAAAACAAAATACTTCAATATAAAATGAACATGAGCACTAGCTTGTTCAGAAAAAATCTGCAGGTTCAATTTAGACAAAATCTAATCGGAAACATAAATGGCATCGAGTTTACATTTATCCTTAAGATAATGAAGTCTTTGTATTTTTAACCGACATTTTCCAATAATGGCGATGAATTGTCCAATAATGGCGATGAGTTGTCATCGAAATTTCCGCATTACATAAACGTGAATTGATGAGAAATAAACATTTCCTGTATTTTTACTGGTAGAGATGTTTCACTAAGCCCAGATTGTAGGTATAAAAGTAATAAATATAGTTTTTAGCAGACTATCAGTAATCATTGATACCTACAACGTTTTTTATATTTATCAACCGTTCGCGCAGTGATTAATATTTTATCAAATCATAAAATTTTCTGTAGTTTGTGATTGCCGAATTTACACCTTTCAATTTATTTTACTATAGTTATAAAAGGGGATTCAGAAACTTAAAACTAGCTTTATTTACTCTTATTTACGATGTTTTGTATGTTATACGCGTTTTATAGGAATAGGCAATTGCAGGAAGGTCAAGGCAAATTGCGGAAGTATATGTAGGTATGGGAGTAGGTTATTGACAGGGGCCGGATCTATTGTTTTACAGCCTAGCCTTCTTCAATACATCATCTTGTGTAGTACAATGACCGCATTTAATACAAATCGATGGTTCAATTAAAACAAACCACACATAATTACTATTTTTATATATACTGTATTAAGTTATTATAAATCTGAAACACTATTGACGTCACTGGCAAGCCCCCAATATCAATCATAAGGCATTACGTGTTTTGCGTGAAGCATGACACGTTCATTATCATACTTAAAATTTAATAAATGGATGATGGGAGAATTACCTAATATAGCACAGCGAAAACCAACACAGTCGTGTGTAGTAAATACACAGAAAATTGATTAAACAAATAATATTAGCCTTGTTTATATTATGACCAGCTACATGAACACAACTACAAATACAGCGAAATAAATAACACTACAAATAAAGTGTTATTTATTATTATTTCATCCATATCAGAGGTATATATACAACACGTAGCTTACTTTTTATAGTTTATTCCTACCAAAATTACCGATCTTTATTTAGAAAAACTATAAAATTAACATAACTTTGATTTACATAGATTTTG